TGGTCGCTGCTCTTGAAAAGGACCTCCAATTAGTGGTTAACAGGGGCAGGAAATGGCTGGTAAATTTTAATGCCTCCAAAACTAAACTGCTCTCATTTAACCACCATAGAGAAACTTCCCTGCTCACCATTAGCAAGGCAGGAGAGCGTCTCACTACGCCTTCTTGGCCTCACGTTTTCAACTGACTTGAAGTCGAACTACTACATTGAATCAATAGCTGCATCTACGGCAAGGAAAGTTGGTTTATTGTGTCGTGCCAGAAGGTTTTACTCGTTAGAGTCCATCTTGCACATTTACAAATCTATCATCGTCCGTGCAATGAATACTGTTGCCATATCTTGTCCGGTGCCCCTGCTGTTCATCTCGAAGTTCTAGACAAAATCTAAAGAAAGATCTGCAATGTAATCGATCATGATTTAGCATCTCGACTTCAGTCACTTTCTCACAAGCGAGATGTGGCTTCCCTCTGTCTTTTCTATAAATATTTTTTCATGGCAACTACTAGATTGGTATTTACTGTTGAAATAGTTAAATGTAACCACCACTTCTACTCCAACAGTTTCTTTTCTCGCACTTCCCGAAAGTGGAACTCTCTTCCGCTTACTTGCTTCCCTGATAACTACAATCTTCAAAAATTTAAATGCAATGTCAACCGCCATCTTCTGTTGATTTGAACCCCTGTTCGTCTTTCCTCAATTCTCCCCACCCCTATACCCAATCTGTTCTCTCATTTTCATTCTCTGTAATCTCCTTCATACTAGTGGCATTCCCACCTTTCTTGGGGTGAAATGAATATATATATATATATATATATATATATATATATATATGAGGGAATTGAACATTTGCCCTCTCCGAGTTCCTTGTGGCGAAGCAAACCATTGATTCAAACAAGTACTGTTTCTAATTAGACTAACTGATGGCATCAAGAAAAAAAGCATTTGGAATTAGTTTACAAAATGAGAGGAAACTTCAGCATTGTTTGACATTTGTACCTACAAAAAAACATGGTTACTTGGCTCAGTGGATAAAGACATTGGGTCTAGTCATTGGGGCTTAGTTGAGAGTTCAATACTAGGCCACAGCAGTATCTGTCTATATTTCCGAGATGAGGTATTATTTATATTATTCTGACTATTGTCCTCATATTTGTCACTATATTTGTTATAACGTTTTGGCCTCAAGGACACATGGCACAGCAGATAAAGGCGTTGGTGACAGGACCCAAAGAGTGTGAGTTCAATACCCAGTTAAGGCAGTGGAGAACTTTCAGAGGGGAATTAACAGGTGATAACTGATAACTGACATCCATTAAACATGGCACGTGGACCTAGAACAGTCTACCCCAGTGAGCGAAATAAAGGGTTCAGTTTAACATTCCAACCACCTGAAGAAGGCCGGAGCGTACAACGGCCGAAACGTTGTAATAAATATGGCGACAAAGATGAGGACAATAGTCCGAATAATGTAGGTCACAGCAGTGGTGAACCAAAACTTAGAGTTATAACTTGAGTATATTCACATTTATTTTTATTACATAATGTCATTGAAATAAAAGCCATATAATGAAATTGCATCAGTAAATAGTAGTAAGAATTTTTTTTTTTAACATAGAATATTAATAATGGAATACTTAAGAAAATAATAAAGAAATTTCAGTGTCGTGCTGGGTAATTTTCTCGCCAGAATATATCTTATATATTTCTAAGTCTATCATTCATCTATGCATTGAATCTGGTCGTTCTTCTATGTTTACAAATTCTTCTTTATCAAGAATCTCTAATGTTATTGGTCGTTACCTGGCATCTCTGCTTCAATCACTTTCCCACTGCGATAACGTAACTTCCCTGTACCTTTTCTATAAATATTTTCACGGTAATTGTGATGAGCTTTCTGCTTTGGTACCTAGACTTCATGAATTTAGGCACAGTACTATAGTGACAGCAAAGTCTCATCGTTTTCCAATTGAAATGGCAAGATATAACCATAATTTCTATGCTGACAATTTTGTCTCTCGGACCTCTTGCTTGTGTAAAAAAAAAAAAAACTAAATGCAACGTCAATCATTATCTTCTGTCTTCCTAATTCCTGTTCTTTTATTGCTCTTGCCTTCGTAATGTTTGCTTTTTCTTATATTCTTTCACACTTAGTAACCTTTTGCATTTTAGTAGCTTTATCACCTTGCTTGGAGTTAAATCCTTATATATATATATATATATATATAACACAAAGAATGAGCTATATATTTTTATATATCAAGTGAAAAAGTTTTCTTGAGCCGTTTCGTCCTTTACGACTTCATCAGGCTAAATTTGTTATGTTGATGTGACTACACATATACACAAACAAGGGATGCTGGGAATATTTTTTTTTTTTTTTGTATTCTAGCTGATTTCATTTAGATTCTTTTTCTTTCACTCACTTTTGTCATTAGACAAACCACACTGTGATACTAGAAATTCTGCCAGGAATGGTGAAATGTTGTAATAGCCAGTGTGCAAATTTCCTGTGGATGACATTTTCATCATAGTGAATTTTCTTTGCTCAGAGTAACATTTTATATGTCAAAATCATGGTCAGTTTTGTTGCGGTGAGCAACCGATACATTTGATGTATTGTTTTGTAAAATGTCTCTTTTGTATTATTTAGACTCCTTGAGGTTTCTCCTATGTATTTTTGTGACAGTATTACAGTTATTAAAGTAAATTTCTCAAAGTTTTAGCTTATTTTTTTTGTTTTAAGTTTTTTTTTTTTATTTTTAGTAACAAATTTTATACTAAGTTTAGATTCTTTTCGATTGTAGATGTGAGAGAATTGGTAGGTAAATATATTTTTTTTGCTTCAGTGGGTTTGTCAGGAGAGGCTGTTTTTTTCTATTTGAGAATATTTTATGAGCATTTTGTTTTGCATTGAATACAAAATTATTAGGGTACTGTAGAAGCTTGAAAGTGTTTTCAATGTATTTCTCCTCTTTGTTTTTGATGGTTGATTTCTGATGGACATCAAGTTTTAATATATATGTATATATTATAAACACAATCTCAAGAATTGCAAATCACTGGTTTTGCTAAAACTAAATTTCACATTTTATTTAGAAATCAAAATTGTTGGTCATTGTAATACTAGTAAAACACATTAAACTTTCACTCAACATTTCAAGTTTATTAGTGCTATTTATTTACTAGTTTTTTGTTTTTCTTTTATTTGACTACAAATAAAGATAAAAAAAACAGCAATATTTAAAGAATTTTGCAAATACTTAACTAAAAATCATAGATTACTCAGCTATGTAATTAAATATTGTTACATGTAAGAAAGTACAAAATTCTATTAAAAGTTAAAATATTTAGTACAAAGCAAAAGAAATAAAAGGCAATTTATTAGCAGTTTGTACTTCCTTGGTGATGAGATATCCCATTGGTATGGTAGCACAAGGCATATTCACTTAGTTGTTATAACATTGATGCCAATAAGAGAAGAGATCGAGTTGCATAAAAGACCAAGAAATACATCCAGACACATTGTTTTGTAATATGGATTAGATATTAATCCATCAAAAGTAGATTACTACAAGGTGAAATAAGATTTTCAAGTGTTTAGGGCAGTGGAGACGAGAAGGAAAAAAAAAAAAAAAAAAAAAAATCAGATAAAAATCTTATGATTGAAATGTTTGAAACAATAACTTAATACATTCAAACCCGACCCTGTAAATATCAGCTCTCAAAGTTTCACACTATCATTTTCTGCATTATTTGCCAGGATGTCATCATATATTATGATAGATTTTCATAGGGTGGGTTACAACAGGTTGAACACAAGAGTTGATATTTACAGTGTGCATTGTATGCTAAAGGGTAAATGTAAATTCTGTATTTGGGGATAATGTACAAATTTTGGTTGCAGAAATTAGTCAAAACCATCAATTTATGATGAAAATTTGAAAACTATGAAAAATGATTAGAAAAAAAAAAAAAAAAATTCAGTGTACTTGCAAACTTCATTACATCAGGTAAGAAAATACGAATAGGAAACACAACAAAGAAAATCATACAAATTGAACTTATAGCAGCATTCACCATGTTCAGTATGAAATCAATTTATTTCAGTAATGTGTTATAACTTCTGATGAATTAGTAGAGTTTGCGTGGAGGTGTGAGAAGCCAAACCGTGAACTATGCGAGAAGCCAAACCGTGAACTATGCAAAAAGACAAAACATGAACTACCTTTATGCAAAAATTGTTGGAAGGTTACGAAAGCTAGGAATCTTGTATGATAAAAATGTTCAAAACAATAGAAACTTTAACAAAAGAGAAGAAATCTGCTGCGTCATAGTTCTCTTCAAAAATAACCAAACAAGTAATAAATATATAGTGATCTTCCAAGAATAGCTTAAATGTGGCATGAAGCTGAATGATTCTCACTAGGTGCTCCTTACAAACTTACTACTCAGTCATAACTGACTTAGCAAGACAAGCTTACTAACCATTACACCATGTTGATGTGCCCCAAATAATAAATATATGTACAGCAGCTGAAAATCAAGCATTCAAAATGTTGTGCTCAGTTTAATGAATAAAGGTTATATTTTGCTGTGATTTAACACCAAGCTTCATGTTGCATAAACATCAATGGAATCATCAAAGAGGAAAATTTCCTTTCCAACTAACCTCTCTTATCCAAATTTTTTTCTTTTTTATAGATAAAAATAAATAAGCATTTGTACAATTAAACAAGGTAAGAACTTCTCAGTTATAATAAAACTGAAAATGCCTACCATACTATGTCAAACTGTTAGATTTGAAGACCATTTCCTGGCCATCCTTGCAAAATACATTTCTTTACTTTGGACAGTTATAACACTTACCAAAGAGAGTAAGTTAAAAGATAAAGCCACCACGTTGTGGGGGTTTATTTTTAAAAACTTTACAGATAAAGGGAAACAATCATATTGGTCTTCATAGAATGGCTTGCTTAGTAATTTTAGTGCATGTATATGTAATCAGATTTCTTTGGGTGTAGTGAGTTCCTTGGGGGAAAAAAAAAAAGAAGAAAAAAGAAAAAGAAGAAGAAAAAAGAAAAAGAAGAAGAAAAAAGAAAAAGAAGAAGAAAAAAGAAAAAGAAGAAGAAAAAAAAAAGAAAAAGAAAAAAAAAAAAAAAAGAAGAAAAAGAAAAAGAAGAAGAAAAAGAAAAGAAGAAGAAAAAAGAAAAGAAGAAAAAAAAAAAAGAAGAAAAAGAAAAAGAAAAAGAAAAAAAAAAAGAAAAAAAAAAAAAGAAGAAAAAAGAAAAGAAGAAAAAAGAAAAGAAGAAAAAGAAAAAGAAGAAAAAGAGAAAGAAAAAGAAGAAAAAAGAGAAAGAAAAAGAGAAAGAAAAAGAGAAAAGAGAAAGAAAAAGAGAAAAGAGAAAGAAAAAGAGAAAAAAGAGAAGAGAAAAAGAAGGAAAAAAAGAGCAAAAAAAGAAAAAGATTTACTTGCTTGAACTAAAAACTTCAGTTAAATTTGAGCAGTCAACATCTGTTTTATCTTAGAAACCATGTTCAGATTTCTCTGTTTAGTTGCGCACACACATTCATGATTATACAATTTCAACCAAACCTTTGGAACATGCAGTCATAATATATTTATGAAAAATAAAGCAATGCAATACAAAACTCATTGTATAGGTATATACATTATTTATATGCACCTTAACAATTTGTACAAAGATCAACATATTGTAAATACTTATTCACCCAATGTCACAGTTTGACCAACTTTGAACATTTTAAAAAGTTCAATATATAATTTTAAAATCATTTTCATTACAGTTTTACTTAATTTTGAATTTAAACAATAAATCAGCATTCATTTCCCCAGATCTTTTTCCCCTAACCCATCCCCAAATTTTGCAAGCTGTTCTGGATTTCATAAAATTGGCAGGTCAACTGCATAAATTCATTTTACTTTTAAGATTTATTTTCTTCATTTTACTGCAGTGAACTCTTTATTTGGAGACATTAGTGGCCACAGAGCAAATAATTTGCACAAACCACCCAACAATTTAAGATGAGAATCAAAAAAAGCTGACACTTCATTCATAAAGCAAATATAAAAAGTGCAAAAATGCGTCCTTTGTAGACTTTTTTTTTCTCTCCTCTTTTTCATATGTTCTTATTTTGTCTTTTTTGTATTCGTTTCTACTAGTTTGCTTTTCACTCAATATATATATATTTTTCCATCTGTATTTCTTTTGACAAGATACAAAACAATTAAACAAACAAAAAGATACCTGGATTTCCTTGAATATAATGAAGCACTAAGTAAAAATTCTTTACTTGGCTTCACTTCCCGACCCACACCCCAACACATCTGATTTATTTAACTCATCTTAAATATTATGAGTGGCATTCAACTTTAAGGAAATGTCTGATGCAACATGCAGAGAAGAGAGTTAAAATTATAAAATCCAAGAAAGAGGAATGCTAAAAAAAAAAAAAAAAAGTAAAAAAAAAAAAAGAAAAAAAAAGCTACCTATTATATAGACAGAAATTTAGAATATGCATATGTTCATACATGGATATTGTGGTCAGTTAGTGCAAAATAGCAGTGACCTGTCAGCCCCCTTATAAGTATACATAAGGCTGGTGTCTGTTGGTGTGTGTAGGTGCCATTATCGTGCTGTTTAGGCCCTAATGCTGGTAGTCGGGATACGGAAGGTGATCTGTACTGATGTACAAACGTCGCAGACACAGCAGTAAGATAGCTGCTCCTAAGATAACCATGAGCACAAAACTGGGGGTGCTTCTAGACTGACCTGCCCTTTCAGGTGCAGGTGTGGCTGCCGGTTGCATAGTTGCACTTGGTTGATCAGAATTTGCAGTAGCCGTTGATGCACCACTCGAGACAGCAGTCACTCTGTGCCGCAAACCCGATTCAGTAGTTGTACTTGTCTCAGCAGCAGAATTGGCAGTTTCAGTTGACTTGTGTTTATCTTCTGAATTTGTTTTTGCTGCTTTCGAAGCATCTGAAGAAGAAGAAGAAGGAGGAGGAGGAGAAGATGAAGTAGGAGAAGACAAAGTAGAAGAAGAGGTAGACAAGACAGTGTTTTTATCTCTTGCAGATGCTACTGAAGGATCCTTGGAGAGCTGGCTTGCACCACTGGTAGAGGCACTGCCATCGCTTTGGGCTTGGGCTTTAGAAGTACTGGTATTTGCGGTTGTAGAAGTAGTGGATGATGTGGAGGGAGAAGTGGAGGTCCTTGTGCTGGAGCTTGTGGATGGGCTCTTGTTCAGAGAGTTTGTAGCTGGAGTAGTAGAAGAAGAGATTAGGTTTGAGCTTGCAACAGGAGTTGGATTTGAAGAGACAGGCACTGTTGGAGGAGCTGGCATGAAAGGAAAGGGAAATGATGGTGGTACATTATTTGAACTGGTTTGGTTTTCAGGATTTCCTGTGGGGGGCAAAGTAAAGCCAGCTGGAAACATGGGGGGCAAAAAAGGGTTAGGGAATGGAGGCATCATTAAATTGCATGGCATGGAGTTAGAATCATTATTCACTGGAGGATAGGGAAACCTGTATGGAAATGGAAACTGTCCAGCCATTGGAGGAAGAAATGGCGGCATCTGGGGGAACATTGTAGGAATTCCTCCAGGATTCATTGCAGATGGAAACATCATTTGCGGCAAAGTGGCAGCTGATGCAGTAGTAGTAGTAGTAGTAGTAGAACTGCTAGCAGTAGTATTAGTTGCAGTTGCACCTGGGCTACTGTTGTTGGTCGTACTCTGTGATGAGCTGCTGTTTGGGAGTGATGACGAAGGTGCCGTTGAGGTCGTTGGTGCACTGACTTTTCCATTGTTAGACTTTTCTCCCTTTTCACCCTGTAATAAAAAACAGAAACAAATCAAGTATGCTATCATTTACCACAGAAAAAGAAACTATATAATAAATGTACCATATGTTTGTACCATATGTTTAACGTTTTGCAGCACTAGGTGACACTGTTTTATGACCATAGAGGACTGTTCCAAGATGTTTAAGAAGCCAGGAGGTGAAAAGACTACAAGGTATGATAAAAAAGTATCAGGACTTTTGCTATGGTAATAGAGCTAAAATATGCAGAGGGAAACTACTAACTGACCTTGAACTCTGCCACACATAGACACTAAGTTATAATGTTCTCACTCACTTCTGTTGTTTATAGCAGTACTTGGAAGGAAAGTGTGTAGAGTGTGGTCGTCTTACCACAACACAGAGGTTTTATCAGTACCCATGGCAGAAAAAATTGAGCAGAAAATCTGCAGTTAATTTTACCAAAAGCTTGGTGATCCCTGCACAGAGATCTATGCAAAGTTGAAGAAAATGTATAAGAGGAGTGTATGAGCCAGACAAGTGTACAAGTCGTTCATATGTTTCCAAGATAGTTGACAAAATGTCAACAGTGATGCACATTCCAGGAGACCCGTAAAAAAATTTTAATATTATTTTTTGTCTTTGGTCAGTAAGTGTTATTTCCTTATTGCTTCTGTCTAGTCAGGAAAGGAAATGACTATTATTCTCTTCAAACTTTGCTTTTGTGACCTGGATATCCATGTTTAAAACCCTATTTTCCATTAGATCCCAGACAGATTCAGCACAGAGTTGCTGAAAGAGAATTTTATAGAAATTTCTGAAAGTTTCAAAAATTTCTAGAACATAGCTGACAGTATAAATACAGAGAACATAAGCTTAACAAAAAAAAAAAAAAAAAAAAAAAAAAGTAGACCCCTGGTATACCATTTCTTACACCAATGTAAGGCATCTACATCCCAACTTTCCAGAAGTGGAACTCCATCTTCTTTAGTCTAAACCCAACCTCCTGTCCCTGTCTGAAATAGGTATCAATACCTCAATCCCATTGCAAGAACTCACAATCCCAGGCTACTAACTAATTATAACAAGATACGACCACCTAAATTGCCACAGTCACAGGCTTGGTGCATACATCAAGGATGAGTTTCCCTGTTGCAAAGACACAAAAACAAGGACCCTGATCTCCCATATATGTGCTTCCATATGGCACTTAGCCATAGTACCACATTCGTCTTTGGTCTCTATCATCCTCAGGATGAATGGTCGGTAATCTTTGATTGAATATCAGAGAGTATTGACAATATCCTCACAGAATTTCTTTCAGCTTTCACACATGGTGACTTCAATGTAACTGATGAGGAAGGCAGATATTGCAGAGACTTCTCCATCGCATATGAACTAGCCCAAATCATTGAGGAACCCTCCTTAGTCCTGGATGTGACGAGACAGCAGGCAAAACTCTTCAACCATTTTCTAACATCCAACCCTGACAAATGTTCAGCAAAAGTTTTATCCCTTATTGGCACATCAGAACATTCCCTAGTCAATGTCCAGATTGACTCCAAACCAATAACATCCCCTGATTTACTGTTCTATAGAACAGTTTTTTGCTATGCAAAAACAGACTGGGACAGCTTTTGGTCCTATATGACAGAAGCTCTTCTCCCAGCCTTCTTCTAAACTGTTGCCCTAATCTCCAAATGGATCCTTTCTGGAATGGAGTGTTTTATGCCCACCAAATATTTCATGCTCTGCAGCCACGGCTCACTGGAACCACTACTTTCAAATCTATCACAAGGAGCAATATTGTCAGGCCCTTATTTCTTTCAGAACCACCACAAAGTGCAGCTACACTAGATCTGTCCAGGCTAAGGTTGAAAAGAAACAAATTGGATCTTACAAATTCTGGAAGATCCCCAAGACCAAATTATGAACAGAGGCAAAGCAGATGTGCTCATTATTATAAATGGCCCTGAGGTCACATCCTCAACAGACAAGGCAAAGCTCTTCACCTTGATCTTTACCTCAAACTTCCCACATCTCACTGAGCACAATCTCAGCAATATACTCATTTCAGTAAGAGGTCTTTAGACTTATCAAAAGCCTCAATCCCAAAAAAAGCCATTAGGCCAGACAAAATTCCACAATGTGACTAGTCTGTTTAAGGCAATTGGAATCACCAGTAAACCCAGAAACTGACACCTCTTCATCGACAGCTCATCCAGGAGCCTCAATGTCATGCTGCTTTATAATGGGAACATATGTCCATCCATCTCTTCCCCTGGCTCACTCGATGCAGCAGTAGCAAGATCTTAGTAGATACCTTGAAATATGAAAAGTACAGTTGGGAGGTTATCAGAGACTTCAAAATGATGGTGTTCCTGTTGGATCTCCATTTGCTGATTTTCCAAATGAGAATAGGTAAATTTCAGAAATATTATTCTGGTCACAAAAGCAAAGTTTGAAGGAAATATTAGCCATTTTTTATACTTTCTAGGCATAAGCAAATAACAGTTGCTACCCAAAGACAAAAATCCTGTTACACAGTTTAAATGATTAAAACATCCCAGATGTGTACGCAGCTGTTCAGAAAAACATTCAAGTCACTGTGTGTGAGTTGATGGAGAATGTTGAAGATTTGGGCAAGAGATGTATCTACCAAATTTGTGCCAAAACTGCTTTCAGCTGCACAGTATCTTCATGATTGCATTAAAGCAGACAAAAAAAAAAAAGAAACACTTTTTGAAAACAGTCATAAGTGACAGATTGTGGGTCTATGGCTATGACCACAAAACTAAGGCTTAGTCTTCACATTGATCTCTGAGAGGTTGGCATTGGTTCTTTCAAAGAAAGCATTAAATGAGTTCAAGCAACATAAAGACACTTTTGACAGTTTTCTGTCACTATAAGAGCATTGTCCACCATGAATATGCTCCACCTGGTCAGACAGTAAATAAGGAGTAAAAACAGTTGCAGTGTTTACAGGAAGCTGTTCATCAGCTAAGGTCAGAATTGCATGCGTCTGTTAAGTGGAAACTCTACCATGAGAATGTACATTGAGCATGGCAGTTTTTGGCAAGCACAACATTCTTCAGGTCCAATAACTACTATATTCTCCAGATCTAAACCCTTGCAACTTTTTCCTCTTTCCAAAATTCAAATTCCACTTGATAGGAATAAGATTTCAAGACATTGAGGGAATCCAAGATAATGCTATAAAGCAGCTGCTCGCTATCTACCAACCCAAAAAAGGAATTCCAGGAATGCTTCCATCAAAGGAAACAACGCTGGATAAAATGTGTGGCTTCAGAACAGCATGACTTCGAAGGAGATTAGATGCCAAATTGATATGTGTTGTAGTATTTTTTAAAGCACCAGTCCCAATACTTTTTTTTTTTTTATCAGAGACCTTGTAACACCATAAAAGAGCAGAGTTCAACAATAATTGGAAAACAATTTAAAAGATTCAGATATGAAAATCTAACACTAGTAAAGGTTTAACAAAATATCAATTTCATATCGGCTGTCACTTTTGATAATATAGGTTAACAAGTCCTAAAAATAAAGACTAATTTTATATAATTCCTTTTGCTTTTTTACAAATACCAAGTAAAAATATAGCAATTATTGTTTGACCTCCATCTCTCACTAGTCAGCAGGAGAGAAAAAAAATATATTCTATAAAAGTTTAAAAACTGATTTCTTTCAGTTTATTCAATCTGTAAAAAGGTTGAAGATTTCTCTCTATCATATTTTCTTTACATTTTTTTTCAAGCATTTCAATTAACATTGCTTTTGTTTTAAAACTAGCAATATTTTTTAATCACAGATAACAGATATAGATATTCTGTGTCTACTTACCTGGAAATTGATTTGAGATGCCAGGGCTTTAGCTTCTTGGCTTGTCTCTTTGGAAGCATCAGTTAAAGGTTTCAGAATATCACTGACATTACCACAGACAGAACACTTCCAACTCAGAGACCTTGAAAGGAAATTGATACATACAAATTACAAAATCAGTACTGAACAAAAATTTAAAATATTAAATTTTCAAATAATTATAATACAATTATTTTACTAACATATCAAACCATTAATGCAGTTATTTAACCAACATATCAAAGCAGATTCAAAATGAAATTCAGTCAACAAAGCAAACTATTCTTTAAAGGATCATAAATAAAAATATTCATTTATTTTTTATAAATACAACTTTCTACACAAACCAACATGGTTCCTTCACTACCAATTTAAAAGGGTTAGAATTACAAATTTTAGTGCATCTTTCAATTATGATGATAAAAGCAGCACAAGTGGTCTTGTGTTATGTTTTCAATTAAAACAAAATCTGACACTGTCTATTTTACTGTAGCAAATCCAAATAAAATTGATTATACCAACTTTTTGGATAAGATCTTCCTTTCATCAGGTGTGTAATCCAAAGATCCAATGGCACCTGCTCCATGAGTTGGCATGAAGCCTATAATTGCTAAGAGAGTAGTCCGAACTGAAAAAGAAAAAATTTTTAAAAAAGCTATAGTAAAAATCAAGTACAGGTATATAATGTATTAAAATGTCTATACTTCTATAAATTATAGAAATCAAAAAGAAAATCTTTAAATATCATGAGATTCTCTCAAGAAAAAGATTATTCAAATATTCATTATAAAATTCAGAATAATACCGTTGTGTAATTAAGAGTAATGAGATAACTTGATGAAAGCATAATTGTTTCAAGATTGACTTGTTGCATTCTCTCTTCAATTCATACCAATTACAGCTATTTTTCATTAATATTTACTTTGTACTTTACAAATATCTAATTAAAAATTTTGAAAAAAAAAATTTGTTAGTAATTACAGCAGGATAACAGATGTTAGATGCTAGCCTAGAACTACAGCAATAATTACAAAATCATTCACAGCAACATTTTAAAAGAAAATACATTTAAAAATTTAAAAATGCAATAAATAAACATCAAAAGTAAATCACAAAAATAAAAAGACTAATCTTCAATCTATAACAAAAACCCCAAATGTTCTTTAATTGTGACACTGTCAAAATGCCAATAATTTAAAGAGAAAAAAAGGCTTAAATTAAATTGAAGTTGAACACAAAAGTGAAGAGAGTTGGAGATAGACTGAAGGACATACCAAAAACAAAAACAAAAAAAAAAGATACTTTTTTTTTTCTCATTTCGTGAATAAAAATCCACTTAGGCATCTGGTTAGAGAGAGGCCCAAAGGACAATGTGGGAGGAGAGTGTGATAACATCTGTGAAGTGACCAGGATTGGTAATCAAGCCAATTAAAAGATAATAATTTTTATGGCTATAAGTGGTGAAGAAGAGGGTAAAAAAATGTTTCTGTCACGGAGAACTCCTAACTCATGCCTTGTTCCAGACTATTAGATAAATTAAGCAGAGTGCCCTGAAAAAATTGCATAGTGGAAGAATTAAAAGTCTCTATACAATGACAAAGAGTGAAAGGGAGACAAGTGCTTTGTCAGCATTCCATAATTTGCTGCCTGAAGAAGTCTCCAATTTAAAGTTTGAAACCCTGACTCCAACTTGGAAACAAAGAATAAAGTGTCATGAAATTAGTCTACAAGGGAAAGGTTGTTAGCCTGCATGCTTGTAGATTATTATACAAAAAAGTGTTCCTGTATAAACTTGAGCTATATAAACTTTGTTGATCTACACAATTTTTGCCTGCTTTGTGATCAAAACAAATACAACGTAAAACAGGGAGAGGTTTGGATCAAAATGACCAACTCTACAGTTAACCACAGGATTCAATCACGGACACACCTAGTGGCTGAGGACAGGATGGCATTGGTGCAGGGACTAGGACGTCCCTCACTTATATAATAACAAGAACAAACGAAATTATGAGTGTTCCAAAATAATAGAAAACTTACTTGACCAGGATGGCTGCCAAGACTCAGGGTGATGACCAGAAATGCTCAAACAAATTTTCTTGTTCACCTCAAATCGCCCATTGGGCTAAAGGGTTATAAAAAAAAAAAAAAAATAAAAAAAAAAAATAAAACAAATAAAATTTTTAACTAAAAAGACAGGAGAATAAAGAAAAGTCAAAATTTTTCAAAGGCTTTATTCTTTTAGATCTACAGATGTTACAGGCTGACCAATATATTTAATATAATTACCATGATCAAAATGAATTTATTTATAGAGAGTTGCTCTGAAAATAATGCTTCCTATTTTATTATGGTGGCCTTCAATATCAGATGTTAGTTCAAGTTGGATGTTTCCACCAATGAAATGTTTTTCTTTTGCCTTGTTACAAATAGCAGCTGAGTAGAAGTCTGGCAAAATGGTGTTTGACATGAAAGTGCATACAAAGCAGGTAAGCTATGTGGGACAAAACTTGCACCCATTGAAATTCATTGGTACTCAATGAACATTTACAGAAACCAAATAGTGTATGTGAGCACAGTTAGGCAGTGGGTAATGAGTTTCAGCAGTGGTAACAGTGATATGTGTGACAGGCCATGTTCCAGATGGTCCAGCACAGATGTCAACCTATGAAATGAGGAGTTCTTGTTCATCACTAGTGAAAATACATAGCCAATAGTGGTGAATATAAGGTCAGAGAAATAGTATTTTCTATCTGAAAACTTGCTCCATGTAACTATTGTAGTTTCTGTGGAAATAGTGTCTCTTGTATGTCTACTATTCTTAAATCAAATTGAAATGTCTTGGAATAAGAAAGAATCAAACTGAATGTTAATTTACTTCAACAGAAAAGAAAAACAACTCTTAGAATAAATGATAAAGAGGTGATATTTTAACCTTGAGAAAAGCTATGAACACTTCAAGTGAAAAAAAAAAAAAAAAAAAAAAAAAAAGGGAACAAATAAAACAATAGATAAAATGATAGCTTACCGTAAGTATGATAATGCTGGGTGGTTTCATAGGGTAATCTGGGGGTAGCACAATCCGGCCATGAAAGATGCCTCCATCAAACTCGGTATCACCAGGTCCACGGATTGTAAAGTGCCATTCAAATAAGTTGTCCTTTAAATAAATCAAAATATACAAAGTAGGCAGCAGTTTTCCCTTCTAACACACTAATAATTAATTTGATGAGAAGATAAACCAAGCAATTTAAGAGTCACTGTTTAGCAATTCCATCACCAAAGACAGGTTAATAAGATCTCAAGTCAGGTAAAAGAACTTGGATTTGAAATTAAATTTTTTTACATTAACATAAATATCCCTTCCTTCCTCTTATGAACTGCATTTAAAATTGAGCGCTGTACAATATTTAAAAATCAAGAAGAGAAATTTGGTCAGCCAAAGCTAAAACAAGGCTTTATAGGGAGAAATATTCAGAAGAAAAATTTAATTTCCACTCTGGGTTGAAGTATTTTATTCGCTGTTATTTCTGACTAGACTTATCAAAAATACACTTTGTTACCTATAGGCCTACACAAAGTACTTACTAATTTTACTATTGTTGCAATCTCACTTTGCATATATAAATCCTACATGTATGACTAGTTTAAATGTTATGACTGGTAACATTTTCTGATTCTGATGAGCTCTTTAATAACAATATTACTGCCACCTTGGAAAACAAATTTAAGAAAAAAACAATCTATTACAGGTATAAAAATACTGAAAATGGAAATTCCCTCAGAATATTTCCTACACTTAATTCAAAATGATCACTATTCAGAAAAATCTAAAAATAGTCACAATAGCTTTCACATATTAATTTCAGCAAATTAGAACAATCGGTAATGTTAGCATAACAAAAATTAAGTTCTTTTTCACTTTTGAGAAGTAGTATATTTTATTATTCAGTATATTTTTCTGGTTATAAATTTCATTCTTGTTATTTGTAACATATTTCAGCAAATACAAGAAAGGCCGAAAATGTTTGTTGTATTCAATCATTAGAAAGCAGTTATCCACTTTGCTTTTTCTTTTCTATTTTTACTCTCTTCAATAAGATCATGTGACTGCATTTAAATTCTCATATTAAAAGTATTTATGTGAGAACAGTCAGGATCTGAATTTGTACACTGGTTAAGCCATGTTATAGAAGGTATTAATATATTTATAATAGTGTGAGTTCAAATTGCCATAGGTGACTATCTTTAAATAGCCTTGCAGTGACTGCCAGTAGAGTGGGAGAGTCTTTAGCTGTTAAATTAATTTTTCTGAGTACTAATTTCTATATATTAAAATCTATGTTAAATATGTCATACATTCAGCTTTTTATTGGCAAACTCACATGTGTAGCTTCCATCCATAATTGTTCCAGGTCTTATTTTGATCTCATTCCAGAAGGAGCTGTGTATCTGTGTCAATTTCCACACACACACACACACACACATTATTATATGCTAAATTTATTTCAGAAAGAATAATGTCTTTCTGATGTTAAAGTTAGAATTTTTTAAGACATTCTAAATATCAAAGAAAGTATTAATCAAAATGTTGTTAAAAAAAAAAAAATCTGTAAAAAATAGTGTGAAAAATGCAAACAATAAAATATTCAAGCCTAAAAATATCCAGTGAAACAGAATTTATTCAGACTTAAATTGGAACTTTTTTTTTTTTTTTTTGCACAGAACATCATTATAAAAAATAAGAAAAGACAAAAACTTACATCCAAAGGTTGGGCATAAAACAGCTCAGTTGGGTCCCTCAGTTCTTGAGCTTCCTTCATAAGCCGCTTTACAGCTGTAAATAGAAACAAGAAATAATTAAGATTGGAAAAAAAAATATGAAGAGATCAAGTTTTTTCACGGGAACAATTTCTTGCAATTATCACTTCTATTACAAGAAAAAAAGAAAAAGATTACAAATTAAAATGCTAACATACAAGCACGAGAATCACTGAGAGAGGTTGTAAATATTTTCCTATGATATGAGCTTTTTGAATTAAAAAAAAATTAACTCAGCTGATTGTATCAAAGAAACATTTTTATTTTCAGGAATATCCAGTATTATTAAAACGTAATCAATAAATGGAATAAAGTAAACATTAAAAGAAGAAAAAGAGAGGTGTGAATTAACTCCATAGAATTATTCTGAAATCAATTTCAGGTATTTTTCTCAATTACAAAGCTTTACTATACAAATACGAGTAAAACCTATTTCCAAATTTAAAATAGGAAATATTTAGATGAATTTATAAAACGTTTAATAAAGTTATAAGATTACACCAGATTGTTACAAGTAAAATTTAAAAAAAAAAAAAAAATAATCTCAATCAAATAAGGTGGGGTTTCATATTCACAAAATGGTAACTGTTACAAATAAACATTTTTTGAGTTGCTTCCCTTGAGGTTTTTAAACATTTGAGGAAAAACACAACAAGGGAGGTTATTCTTTATCATCTGGAATTATCTCCCATTAAACGTTTAATTGTTTATCAAAAATTAAATTAAATATAATGCTGCGATGACTGGATTTAAAACAAAGACAAATTAAAACAAGATATTAGTTTAGTTAGTTAATCCAAGACTTCAAAATCTAGTATAATTATTCTATATATTTTTAAAGACATGGTCAGCTACTTTTTTTTTTAATTAATACCTCTTCAAGTACGTTTTCTTAATGTAAAATTATCATGCCCACTCTAACAAAATTTTAAATCAAGGATTTGTATATTTCCAAATTGAAAATAATAAAATCTTTTAGATATTAATATTTCACGACAATCATTGGTTTTCTTCCTATGAGAGACCATAGCCAATATGAATTAACAATAACCAAATCAGATGTGCAATTTTTATTTAACTCAATAGTAAAGCTTATTAAACATGAACAAAAAATGAGTTTGTCAATGGTTCTTCCAAAAGCAAGTTAAAAACAAAAAAAATATGAAAAGAACTGGAGTGGGTATCATCACTTTAAAAAGAATGAATAAAACCTCTTATGCTTAAATATGAATGAAATGTATCAAAAAGACAATGTCAAAAATAGAATCAAATAAACATAACATAATATAAGCAATTGAGGCTGCAAATATTTTCTGACCAATAGAAACAGGAAATCATATTTCAAATAACTCTTCTATGGCGCCTCTTTAAACACTTTCTAAGAGGCTCAAAAGCTCATTCAGACTATGCTTTTTTTTTCCTCAAGGGATACTACTTGATACAAACAGTATTTTACATTTGGCCAGTATTCCAACACTGAATAACATATAACATTGGCCAACAACTATTATCACAGAACATTACGCAAACTATACACAATATGTATGTCAGCATCAATTCAACATCACCAAACTTCTTCGTGTACTGTGTTCACTCAGGACCTAGGAAATTGCGGAGAGTCATGATTGCCTGTCTTCTGTAGCTCTTAATAAATTTTACCTGTAATTTCTCCCAAACCCTGCTCTATCATCCATTTAGTCAAGTTCTTTAACTAGGTTATGCATTGTTTTCCTCTGTCCCTCTTGCCTTCAACCTATCCTATGCAACTACATATTACCAAAAAAAAACATGGTACACATTCTAACAAAAATCTTTACTGACAAGAGCTCTCTGTTTAATGCTCGTTGGAGATGCATGAATCTAAACAAAAAAAAAAAAAAAAAAAAAAAAAAAAAAAAGGACAAAGATTTTGTCACATATGTGTTGGTATCAACAAAGAATGTGAAAGTTTAGAATAAAGGAAATGACTAGATATATTCAAAGGGTTAATTTTCATTCAAGATTCAGAATTAGTGTACATAAATATTCATAGAGGACTGTATAAGTTTAACCGACTTCCTTTTGATATAAAAGTGGCACCAGCTACTTTTCAACAAACCATGGATACCATGCTTGCAGATTATGATTTCACAGTAGCATATCTGGATGACATCAAAAGTCTATCTAAAGAACATGTTGAACATAGGAAAACAATTTTGAAAAAACTATGAATTCTAGCTCAGTGAAGAAAAATGCAAATTTTTTTTGTCAATAATTAAATACGATGGCAGTAAAAATAATGCCTTCGCTCAGGTTTCACGCTCGCTTCTACCAGCAGAGAATAATTACAAGCAGATAGAAAAAGAAGCTCTAGCAATTATATTTGCTGTGAAGAAATTTCTTAAGCTTATTCATGGAGGAAATTTTAGGTTGCAAACAGACTATAGACTCTTAACAATATATGGTTCAAAGAAAGGAATGTCTATGGTTCCAGCTAACAGACTACAATGTTGGAGTACCATCCTATTAAACTATGATTTTACAATGGAGTACCAATCGTCTAAAAAGTTAGGACATGCAGATGGATTATCACGATTACTACCTAAAAATGCAGAACTATTTGAGGACACGGTCATTGCAGCACTAAAAAGTGAAATAGAAATAAAAACATTTTGTGTGATGTAGTACAAGAGTTACCAGTTAGCCTGGAAGAAATAAAAGAAAAAGCAAAAAATGTCTTTAGTGTAAAAATAAGAAAGCAATCGAAATAAAGTAACAAAAAATGTAATCCAGACGTAACTGCATACTCACTATGCAACAATGTAGTAATGTTCAGGCAAAAGGTTGTAATACCTAGTGTGTCACAAAAGTGAATATTAAATGATTTTCATAGCAGACATCCTGGTATTTCAAGAATGAAATACCTGGTAAGTTTTGTAGATGAATGGACCAAAATAATAAAAGCTTACAGAGGTTGTGCTCCAGCAGCAAAACTACCTATCACAAAACTAGAACCTTGGCTAAAGACAGACATGCCATGGTTAAGACTGCATATAGATTATGCAGGTCCTATGAATGAATCACATTATCTTATGATAGTTGATAGTTTCACTAAATGGTTGGAAATTTATAAGTGCAAAAATCCAACATCTTCAGTGACAGTGAATTTCTTGCATGAACTGTTGGTGAGAAATGGCATACCAGATTCCATAGTATCGGATAACAGAATGCAATTCATGGGTAAAGAATCCAAAAACTTTTGTAAGATGTTCACCACTGAACATATTATGATACCACCACATAATCCAGGGTCAAACATTTAAAAGGATGTGGGACCATTTAAAAGACCATTAAGAGAAAGTAAATGAGGAAGCACTTCAAAATTTTCTGAGAGTTTACCTTGTAACACGAAATCCCAATAGACCATCAGGCAATGTCATCAGCAGAATTAATGTTTGATAGAAAAGTAAAATCAGTGTTCAAAAAGTTATTACCAAATTGAAAAACACAAACGGATAACTAACAAAAATGATACCAAAAGTTTCAAGGTCAGCAATAAAGTATTCTTTAGAGCATATAAAGATGGCAAAGAAACACAAGAAGATGTTATAATATCAACAAGAATCAGGAAGTTGATTTACATGATAAAAGGGAAAAGATTTGAACATAAAAGGCAACATAATCAACTGAAAAAAAAGGTTCAATGAAAAACATGAAACATTAGAAGAACTGACAAAAATTATATGTTTTTGATGTACCAACAACACAACATGTTGTAGAACCTACATGAACAAGTTCAAGGAAAAGAATGCTTACTGAAGAACTGGAAATGAATCCGAGACAAAAATGCTATAAAGTCAAGTATGTCGACAAACTCTCCAGAAAGAGGAGGGGAAGATACTAATACTAATGAAAAATAAAATATTTATAAAAAGTATAAATTTCCAAGTGGGTGGATGTTGTGAAATAAATAGTACACCACTGGTGACTATATGAACTATTCTATAACTATAAATAAAGAGCTCCAGGTCAGAGGTAAGAATAAGTAGCTGTTTGGAATCAGTCTTCAGACTAATTAATACAGGCATAACAGCAAGTAGCCAAAGCATTACTAGTGCTAGCAAGTGCTTTATAACACTGATATCAGCATTCTGTCCTTGGATTTTATGCATCCTGTTGATGAGTACGTCTTCTGTCCTGTCAGTTTTTTATGCATATCTGCTTTATCTGTGATATTCATTCTTTCTATTCCTCCACATTTTTCATGGAACCATTCCTCAGTAACCTTTCTGCATTTGTTCCTTATTTCTTTGTGTAGTGTCCTATATTCTATTCCATGTCATAACATTATTTTTTCTCTCCTTTTCATCATTTTGAGAATTTCATGTCATTCATTCATTTATTTTCTTTTTTTTTTTTTTTTCTATTTTTTTGGGGGATGATCTCAATTGCTGATGTTACTAAAGCTTCTCTCTTAAATGTGAGTTTTTATTTTGTGTCTCGTATCTGCTTTTCACACTGTCCACATATTTCTCCTTCACATTTCGGTTGTTCAAGAGCATCATATTGCAGCTTGGGTGTTGCCTTAGGCCTTTTCAATTTCCATAGTTTCACTGTTTACATATAGGTGATCATTTCCATAGTCAGCACTTGGATATGTTTTGCAGTGTAAAACTGCATTACTGAATCTCTTGTTGATAACTATGTAATGGATTTGTTTTTTTGTTTTTACTCCTGAGCTTCTCCATGTCTACATTCGGGTTGGGTGTTCTTGAAACCAGGTGTTGGCTACTACCCAGTTGTTCACCATACACTAATTTAACCCATTTTTCTCCACATTCATTACAGGTTAGAATTTGCTATTTTACCATCCCTCTCATTGCCTACTTTGACATTCAGGTCTCCCATGACAATTATAATTTCTTGCAACTTGCATTGAGCCTTGGTATTGTCTAGCATAGAGTAGAACTTTTTGATTTCCTCTTCTGTACTTTGTGCTGTCGGTGCATAAGTTAAAAGGCTTTCCTTTCAGTTTAA